AGGGTCTAGGCCCGAAACGTCAGCCTTTCTGCTCCTATGATGCTGCTTGGCCTGCTGTGTTCATCCAGCTCTGCACCTTGTTGTCTTGGATTCTCCAGCATCTGCAGTTCCTACTATCTCTGATCCAGTATATCCAACCTTTCTTCGTAGCTAAAATCCCCCAGACCAGGCAACATCCTGGTAAACCTTTTCTGTACCCTCTCCAAAGCATCCACATCTTTCTGGTAGTGTTGTGACCAGAACTGTACGCAATATTCCAAGTGTGGCCTAACTAAAGTTCTATAAAGCTGCAGCATAACTTGTCTATCCTTCTACTCAATGCCCCGTTCAATGAAGGCAAACATGCTATAGGCCTTTTTTAACTACCTTATCGACCTGCGCTGCCACCATCAGTGATCTGTGGACCTGCACACCCAGATCACTCTGCATATCAATACTCCTAAGGGTCCTGCCATTCCCTGTGTAATTTCCACCTGTACTTGACCTTTTATATTGCACCCAGGATATGAAGTCAGTCATCTTGTGCCATCAGTATTTTGAGGGATTGTAATTAGCTCTAGTCGTCACTGTTTGGACACTTTATTTTTCCCATTTGAAATAGCTTCAAATTTACAATGTTGTCAGAATAATTTGTACTTAAGACTAACTAAGAAATGTAGTTTCCAGTGCATTCTCCTCTTTAAAATTAAAAACAGTATGACAGTTAAACTCTGCAGTCATTACCTTATGAAGCTTTTCTGAGGAAATAACCTTTCCATGAGAATATTTCATTGAGGATCGAGGTGCACAATAGCTTGTTAGGATTTTAAAACCTGTTTATAATATCACTTTCTAAATTATTGTGGTTACTACTATCCAATTGAAAATTAGTTTTAGATGAAATGGGAAATTACTATTGAATCTTGAAGATGGGACAAAATTTCAGAGTAAACCTTTCTATTTCCATGGCCGTTTTTCACATCAAAGAGTGTCTAATTTTTTTTTACTGAATGAATGAAAATGTACAGTGACTGTAGTGTAAGGTAATGTTGCTGGTGTTTGATAGAAGGAATGTTGGTTAGGATACAAGGAGAACTCCCATGATTTTATTTTGGATTGTGTAACATTACTCATGGCCCTCTCCAAGTGCCAGCCAATAAATTACCATGCTCCACTATGCCACTTCTCTCTTAGTTCATAGACAATATCATCTTTCTCTCTTATAGACAATTATAATCCATTTTGTTTGGATCATTTGCTCAACATTTTTGATTTTGTTTGTTTTTCTGACATATAAAGTAATTCAAGAAACTAGCTGGATGTAGTTTGATATTGAACAAATCGCTGTTTTTACTAATATTTATTGACAGTTGTGATTTTGCAGCTGGGTGAATGCATCCACAGTAAAATGCATTAGACTTGAAGGAAGAAATGTAATTTGCAAAACATTTTGTTACCTTAATGAATGCCATATCAATAGAAATTTATGTTGACATTTCTTTCCGTCACTTTTCTGAGACTGAGGTCAGAATATTACTGTTTGCAGGCTCACCTTCTCCCCAGTCTCACTTATTGGGTGCCAGACTCCAGAGTGCTCCAACTCTTACTGACATTTACCAGAGCAAACAGAAACTACGTAAACAGCACTCGGACCCAGTTTGTCCTCCATCAGCAGGGTATGGATGTAGCCATTCTCCACAGCCTAGCAGACCAGTCAGCCTTGGTACTTCCCCTACAAAACACATGGGAACGTCTCCACGGAGTTCAGATTGGCTGCATAAAACCCCGCTACCCACCATCATTGGATCACCAACAAAGGTACGTAAATATGTGATGTCAGTAGTAGTCATTTGCATCGAATGAAAATGTTACACATCTTAATTTTGGAGGGTTGGATAATTGCTCAGTTGCTCTTCAGATTAATTTAAGTTTTCTATGTTTGTGCCACCATAGACCACTGCTCCTCTCAAGCTGCCTAAAACTCAAGCATCTTCCAATTTGCTTGCCTTGGCTGCGCAGCAAGGATTAACTGAGAGTCCACCAATGCAGTCCAAAGCCATGTTGGAGGCTAGGGAATTCAGCACCTATCATTATCCACAAGGAAGTGCTAAGTCTGCAGCTTCTGAGGAGAATAAAACCACCTTTGGCAGGTACCAGTTGTTTTGTTTAATGTCTCTGTGATCCATTTTAATACTTGACCTGGATTGGTTGTGTTAACGAAGAAAGTTAGATTTGTCTTCTGTGCAGAAGCGACTTGCTTCCAGAATTTGGCTGAGCTGACTGCAGCAACTCTCACTTATTAGTGCAGATCAGAATGAGCTTTATCCTGTGTCTGACTTGAGAGTGCTTAATGCTCATACAGCTACCATGTGGCATTGCTGTATCCTTCCCTTTAATTATCATGGTTACAGTCTTGACTTTGAGTTGATACTTACAATTCCAAGTTGGAAGACTGGATTTCTATGTACTCAAGGAATGCTGTGTTGTTGGAGATGCTGACTTTCCAGTGAGATGTTAAGCAAGACTGTGGGTAAATGTAAACATGTCCACAGCACTATACAAAGGAAGAGTCCTGGCAATATTTATGCTTGCAAAAATCCTGACAATTGTTTATTTGGTCATAATGATTTGTAGGACTTTGTGTGCAAATTGGTTTTTCCTATTTTACACTTTGCTTTGTATCATGGGACATGCTGCAGATGAGAAAGGTTCTGTATAAATGAAAGATTTTGTTTTTGGTGAATTCTATAAAGAATGCAATATTTTGATATGTGCAATGGTTTACAGTAGTGACTTTGATCACCAAATTTGGCTTAGTTCTTTTTAAAACAAAGCCCTTTGTTAAAGCAGTCAAAATAAGTATTTTTAATCTTTCATAGATCTGTAAGTACAGGAAGATTGTCAGATCAGGTAGTAAAGACCACATTTGGAGGGCAGACGTATCAAGGCAGCACGGATAGCCTCAATACGGAACGTCCAATGGACACAGGTAAACAAAATTGCTGGTTGCATGTGATCCTGTTACAAGGAAACCTTTTCAATCTGTCCTCATACTTGTTACCTCAGTTTTATATTTGGTACCTGCTATCTGTTTAATTATCATGCGTCTACTCTACTGAAAACTACATAAAGGTTCTACAAGCTCTTGACCATTGATTTCCTCCTTTTAAGTCTTTTCATTTCTGTATTTTTTTAACATTCTCCATGAGAATGGCAACCTAATAACCCCTGACATATTTCCACTGATACCAGCCTGGAGCTGCTGGTTCAGACCTTGGATTTATCTTCCTCTCCATTTTTCTGCTGTAAGTTTTCCAAAGATGATAGATGATAGATCAATAAGCATTCAATGTTTGTGGGTGTTACTGCTAACGTAAGGATACTGGATGAGGACACCTGTTAGGCTCAGCTGCAGTTTCACATCCACAGTTAAATTACCTGCGGGCAATCATTGCCCAGCCTCCCAAATTGATTTAAGAATGACTTAAATAAGCAAGATATTGGACAGCAGCAGCAGACCCCAGGACCTGCAAGTGCGTAGTTAACTCTTGTAATAGAGGAAGGCAGTGAGTCCATGTAAGAGATGGAGGAGAAATTTGCGGGTTTTTGTGAAGCAAATCAGATTGGTTAAACACATATAACACATCGAGTCTCCAACTTACCATATTTCATTTTCATTTGTATTCTGATCCCTTCTCTTACCACGGAGAGATTATGTAATCGAAAAGAATGAACATGCTGAAGCCAATTACCATGACTGAGAAGTGCTGCAGCAGCTTAATCGATCTTGATTCTTTTCCTCCTCCAGAGATGTCTTGCCGTATAATTATTACTTGCTGGCACAGCTGGCATCAAAAACTCGTTTTGGCAGGAAAAGTTTGTAGTGTGCTTACCTCCTACAGTTATACAACACAAAACCTTGGTACAATGTACTGCTTGAAACCAGCCAGTTCATGCATTTTAATTTAGTACAGAGTTGAAATAGTGCACAAAGTGTTTCTGAATTCTGTTTTTTTTCTGTCTGTCCTATTGAGGTGGCTTTTGCAGTCTGCACATTTTGCACTATTTCTTCCTGTTTGCATGATTTATTGTTCTTTCTGCCCAGCTCCAGCAGGTGCTTCTGGTTTGACAATGGGTTCCCCTGCCATGGTGATAGGAGTGAGCCCAAGGACTGTGGTGTTCACTGTAGGTTCACCACCAAGTAGTGTCACCCCTCCCCATAGCAGTCACATGGTCACCAGAACAAGGACAATGTCAGGTAAGACTTGACTGCTGACAAAATTAAAATTATACATGGCATTAGTCAGCCTGTAGTCTTTGACTCTGAGTGACAGGTTACCTGGGGAAGAAGTGTTAACTTCAAAGTAAAACTTATCCAAACTGGTCGATGAGTTTTTATTTCGTGATAATTACAAAACCATTACACCATCATGATGCCAATATCCTTAGTCATCATATGTTTTGGTACAGCGGTATTGTGATCGAAAGGTTTATTTTAATGTTTCTCACAAAGCTGAGGACTTAAAATACTCGTAGTTTGGAAGTTACATAATAGCTGCTATTTCCATGGCCATGAGTAAAATATTATACAGTGAGGACAATGGGTTCCTTCTGCTTAACCTTTGACGTTTCCTTTGCAGTTGGCTCAAACAGTCCACTTGGATCTTTGTGTTCCAACAGTGGAAGAATTTGCATGGGCTCTCCACCAGGTGCTTACATGGGCGCCTCACCTCCTGGGGCAGAAGGTCCTTCAAGTTTGAAGTACATGACATTCGGTACCTCGCCTCCTAGCTTAGAAGGATTTATCACATTCGAAGCTCCAGAACTGCCAGAAGAGACCTTAATGGAGGTGAGCTCTTGTAACTACTTCAAGATAAAACAAATGTTTCACTTATTTCTTCAAGTGAATAGTAACTCTGGGTCACCAATCTGAGTGTTCGTGCCTTTATTCCTTCAGCATGTAGATTGGTTCATATTAAATATCAGTATATTTTTGGTTGCTGCCAAAAATGGCAAAAATCCATATCAAGTTACATGTTCAATTAAACTTTAAGGAGTGCAATGAGATTTTCTTCGTAAGCAAATTGAGTTTTTTTTAAAAATGGAAACTTAAGAAAGGACTGTTTTTGAGATTCCTGAAGTATTTAATGAATTATTTTAGTAAAACTTGATATTGAACTTTAGGACGTAAGCAAGCATAGAATTGGAATATGGCTATCAGTTTCAATCCCTCAATAGACATTGTACCTACCAATTGCCTGACTGTACACTGTTTCATCTATTTAATCTTTTGAGGGACAAATGAATGTGTTAGTCTGTGATCCCAAAAATTAGTACATCATCAAGCTTGCATCCCTGGACTTCAAACCTAGTTTCCTACAATCCATGGACAACCATGGGTGTTCACTAATGAAAATTTGTTTTTACTTAATATCCCTTTCCCAAAAAACTTGAACATTTTGGAATATTCCATACGTTTTGCTCTCAATTAAACGCCACAAATTCTGCTCTCTGTCCCATCTCTAAATACAGAACTGCTTCTCAAAACAATTCTGCAGTGTTGCTCATGATTCCTTGTTCTATGGGCTATGATATTGGAGAGATGTGAATTCCACAACGGGATTCTTGTGACTGTTAAATGTTTGGCAATGGAACATACAGAGCCACAGTGTGTAAAAACTGTTGTAGCTGGCCTACACATTGTGAACCCCTGCAGAGATCGGTTAAGATTCTTGTCTCTGCTTCCAGGAGATGTTACCCCCTCCAGAGGCTCAGCAAAAGGCACACCTGCTTTGCATTGAAACATCCCCAATTCTTGTAACATTCTGTTTACCTTGTACCGTACCAGACTGGGAATGCTGTCAATTACTACTGTGTGAGACGATGAGGGATAAGTGAATTGCTAGTGTGAAGTCTTGCAGAACAAGGGTGCATCATCAGAGGCTCCTGAAATTGAGAACAGATGTTTGTCAAGTGAATTTCAGCCCACGTGACACCTTCCACAAATTCCCATTTGTTGTGATTTGCAGCTGTTAGAGGAAAAATGGGCTTATAGGCATCTGTTTTCATTGGTATCATCGGGGGAGGCACAACAGTTACCAAACCTGTTTTTCTAGTTAATTTCCTTTGCACCATAACAGGAAATGGCCCAAGTTATATTTATAGTTGTATACTTTGAAAGAGTACATGTTACTCTAGACAGGAAGGAAGAAGACAGTGCACCACGTTGTTGCTTTCTAGATTGTCCTGTAATTTTTAAATCTCCTTAGCAGTAGCTGATGGACAACAAGTTTTTAACTGGACTGGAAGATTTTTCTGTTGTGTAACAGTTTTTAGTAAAACAGGTAATACTTGATGTGTTATACAACTGAATGCATCAGAGAATTGAGCAGTTTGTTTACCAGAAACAACAAAATCTGTTCTCAAGTCCCCTGCTGAATGTTGTTTAAGCCTGTTCATCATGTGACATTTTATGAATGTACCATTTGACACACGTCAGCTGCTATTGCATCATTAGCTTCTGTGCGGTCGAAAGAGATTAGATGAAGTGTAAACAAGGGAACAGCTCCTATTTTATGAGTAGAACTTTCCCTTAATATAGCACACCATAATTCTCTTCAATTTGGATGTCAATGACATTTGGTCTTAGTTTGTGAAGGCGTCATGAAATAAAATTATTTTCTTTGTTTTTTTTTGATACAGGCAGTTTCTGAGTTGAATTATTATGGTAACCTTGCTGTCAACATTTTTATTAAAATTCAAATGTAAAGCACGCCTCATTCTGGGTATTCTTATGCAATTTTTATTGGCCCCTTTGGCAATACCTTCTGCCTGTTACGACACTAGTAGCTAAAACATTTAAACCGCTATAATAGCCATTTGGCTTTTATCACCAAATTTGTCCTCCGCCTTTCTCCCCCTATTCATTTGATAGCTTCAACTTAATGCACCTGGCCTTATTCTGTTCCTCGTGACTTTCCTTTAAAATCCTCGTTGCTATTCTCCCTCAGCCACTGTGCCAACAAACTACTCAAGCTTAGTAATCTCAACCTGTATAAAACTCACCTTGCCCTCTGTCCTCTGTCAATGCAATTCCATGCTCCCTTCACCTCTCCCTCTGTATGAGTTCACCAACTGATATTTGTGGATGACTCCTAAATCTTGCCAATCGAGATCACCTCTCTACTCCTATAATCTCAGTTGCAAACAAGACTGTCTCTGTGCTCTACCTAACTGAAGAAGGGTCTAGGCCCGAAACATCAGCCTTCCTGCTCCTCTGATGCTGCTTGGCCTGCTGTGTTCATCCAGCTCTACACCTCGTTATCTCTACACCCTTCATAAGATGCATTTTAGTTCTACACCCACTTCCTTTATTAAAAAAAAGTTTCCCCATGCCATAATAGCACTTTCAAATCTCTTCTTTAGATCGTTCTTGACTCTTTTTTTGCCCTATCTGCTGGTCAGTTTAGTTTTGTACTCGCCTCCACCTTTGATGGCTTTGCCCCAGTAAAATCCTTGGCATGACTTCTATCTCCACTTGCTTCAGGTACTCGCTTTATTGATGGGCCTTTTTGATATTAACTGAATCCAATCAATCAAAGAGAAACAAGCTTTGAGAATAAAAGAAGTAGATGTATTAGCCGGACTCTCAAGCCTGCTCCCCCATTTGGTGTGATCATTGTTGATCTTATACTATTCTTATATCCTGTGATTTTCCCTCCTCCCCACCTTGCCCCTGATACAATTGTTGTTAGTCTTGAATGTATTCAAAAGTTGTGAGCATCCATAGCTGTCGCTGATAGGGAATTTTGAACAAAAAAAACACCTTTCCGAGTAAGAAATTTCTCTATCTCTCTCCTAGATAGCTGACTCCTTGTTTTTAACTCTTCATCCAAGAAACCATCATTTTTAGTATCTCCCTTGTCACTCCTTCTAAGAGCTTTCTGCTTAGTCATAGAATAAGTCATAATTTTAATATTCAACTTGATCATGCTTGATACGGCCATGCTGAGAGCTGCTGTTAGCTAAGTTGGCTAGACAACAGTGTGTGGATCAGATTAAGGCCAATACAGGATTCAGTCCAAATTCTGGCTGAGGTAGAATTGGACCTGTTTCCTCAGCCTACCCATTGTTTTTACAAAAAAATCACAGCACTTTGTAGTTTAGTGAATAATCACAAAGGGTCTGCTTTCAGGTAGAGGATTCAAGAAAGATGAGAATACGAATTAATAGCTTTTACCCATTGAATTAGTAATTTAACTTAATATGGTCAAGTATTGTTGGCTCAATTACTGTGTGACTTGACAACTTGTTTTCTTTCTCTGATTGCAGAGAGAACATACAGATACCTTGCGACACCTGAATACAATGCTGACATTTGCAGAATGTATTATGGATATTGCTGTGATGAAAGGAGGTAGTTTGGACTTGGGGACCTCTGCTGCCTCTCTCTATCAAATCCAGGAGAGTGTTGTGGTTGACCAGATTAGTCGTCTCAGCAAGGAGTGGGGGTTGGTACTTGTATTAATTACTCTTTGGAGTGGGCTTTGGGGGCTGTTGTGGGAGGGGGCATTGGAGATCAGCAAATCTGCTGTGTGAAGCTGTATCCTAAAATAATGTGGGATTGAAAACCTGGATGTTTTGGCAATTGAAACTGGCTACTCTGATTTACTTTTAAAATTCAAAATAATAGACAGTTCCATGCCATAAGTGCTTTACTTGAAATGTATGGAAGAAGAATCTAATATTACTGAGCCTTTGCATTGTTTTGTACCTTCTGACAGCAATAGAGCACCAAGTTTCTCTTAAACTCTTGACAATGAATGCAGCTGTGTGTCTGTTATATATTGTAAATTTTGTTCCATTTTGATGCTGTCAAGGGTCATATAAAAATTCTGATGATTCCTCTTGGCATTTATTGCCCAATGGTTCATGGAACAGCATTTGTGAAGAAACAAAGAAAGAACTGCAGATGCTGGAAATCAGCAACAAAAACAAATTCATAAACAATCCTGAAGAAGGGTCATTGAACCCGAAACATTAACTCTGCTTTCTCTCCACAGATGCTGCGAGACCTGATGGGTTTTGCAGCAATTTGTGTTTGTTGTTGAAGAAAGTTGTGACCTCTGTCCAGTAGTGATCTGTAGATATGAGTAAATTCTCTCTCCAAACGGTGATTGAAACCTAAAGTGACATTCCCCTTCCAAAAGTGTACAGTATATGCAGATTTGAACTTTGGCTCTCCAAAGGGAGAGGAGCCACCCAGATGCCATTCCTGATTAATTTCTGAGTGATAAAGGATAGTCTCTGTTGACTGATCCTTTTAGTTGCTAGTATGGAAACTTTGGTTTGATCCTCACATGAGGCATATTGTTTCCCATTTGTGGTCAAAACCAAAGTTTATCCTTATTGGGGAGCTGAGATAGAAATGTAAATGAGGCTTCCTCTCTCTGCATACCGTGTCTTTGCACAGCCCCTTTTCTTTCTGAACAGTGAAGCATGGAGATGTTTCAGCTTACTGAAATGTTCTGTTCAACAGAAAACTTACTTGTTTTATTTACAGACAAGTGGAACAGCTTGTACTATACATGAAAGGAGCACAGCTGTTGGCATCTTCTTTGCATCTTGCAAAAGACCAGGTTAAGTCAGGCAAGCTGAACCCATCTACAGCCGTTAAGCAAGGTATTGAAACCATTTTTATAAAAATGCATTAATTCCAAAGGTGCTGGACCAGTGCTGTGTTTGTGTTGGAGTCAGGAAGGGAAAATAAACATAGTGGGCCAATTTGCAAGCAAAAAAAGATAAAATTGTAATATTAAATTCCTGTGCATTTTCAGAGTGGGTATGATTGCAAATTCTAGCTCCCTGATTTGTTGGGTGAGAGAGGGAAGAAGCCATTCTAATTTATATTATATCTTGATGCTGTATCAGCATATATTCATCCTCAGTTATGTTGTCACAAGCGAAATAACCTAGTTATGTACAAGTTATTTGTGGCTTTCAGAATTTGTGCCATAGTACAAACATTCATTTCCCCCATGTTTCATCTAACCTTGCAGTATTTGCATTTGGAATTAATGCAGAAAAATTGTTAATTCCCAATACACTCCTCCTTTCTGCAAAAAAAAATTAGTTTTTTTTGCACAAGGTCTGATCTTGTGTGTGATTAGCTGAAACTTTTATAGCTGGAACTGTTCATCACTTACAAATTTTGCAGATATTTGTGTACACATTAATAGTGTTGTCCTAAACTACTATGACATTGAGGAAGTGTCTCTGTCAGCTACAATTAATAACCTTTTACGAGTTGGGAATGTGATGGAAAAACTTCTTCACTTGCATGGCTAAGTGCAGCTCAAACAACACTAAAACTTCATAGCATCCAGGACAAAGAAGCCACTTCCTCAACACTCCATCCACTAACTGAGGCATTCGTTCCTTTCACCATTGGCGGCAGTGTGCCATTTGAGAGATACACTGCATCAACTAGCCGAGCCTCCTTCGAAGAAACCTTCCAAACCTCTAATCCACACCTAGAAGGATAAGGACAGTTATCACTGAGCAAAACCACCACCAACTGCGAGTTTTCCTCAAAAGTAAATACCATCCTAACTTGGGACTATGTCGTTGTTCCTTCGCTGTATTTAGCTTAAAATCCTTGAACTGCCTCCCCCATACACTGTGGGTGTACCTACATCATCTGGACTGAAGTGGGTCAAGGAGCTGGTTTGTCATTACCTTAAGGCGGTCAGGAAAGGGCAATAAGTACTCACCTTGCCAATGACACTTCCTTCCAATGAAAGATTAAGAAAAAAAACTAAACAAGACATTTAATGCTATTTGGTAAACTGTTATGAATTGTAAAGGAACACCTAATTGCTCCTGTGTTGCAGTAATCCTCCTGACTTCTGTTTTGCAGTTGTTAAAAATCTGAATGATCGGTACAAGTGCTGCATCTCCTTTTGCAAAAAACTTACTGAGAAACTGAATCGTTTCTTCTCTGATAAGCAGAGATTTGTGGATGAAATCAACAGTGTTACTGCAGAGAAACTGATCTACAGCTATGCTGTGGAAATGGTAACTATTACCAAGTCTCTAGATTTTTGAGAGATTTTTTGACATAGGACTGGCTTATTTGATTTTTGTAGTGATGCCTCAGACGTGTGGTAAAGGTAAATAGCAAAGCATAGCAAGATCAACTTATTTTAATGACCAGCTGATGTTTTGACGAATTATGAACAGTGAGTCAAGACAAAAGTGGTCTTCAGCTGAAGCAGGGTTAGAAGGCTATGAATTGAGGGCCCTGATTTTAAAGTTGAGCATCTGTCCTTATTAATTTTTTTTAATTTGGTTTTTCATAATTAAATGAAAATGCTTCCAGCAGTTTGGGATATACGAAGGCTGGAGCATAAGATCTGATCTTTGATATTGGGCAACCTAAAACCATTATGCTGATATTTGGTTAATTCCAGCTAAATCAGATGCATTATAAATGCTGTCATTGGAATTTAAAGGAGAATTTGATAACAGGAAATATCCTCCACTTGGGTAGCTAGCAGATAGCAAGCTCGCCTCCAAGGTACACATCATCCTGACTTGGGAGAATATCCCTGTTCTTTCACTGTCACTGGGTCAAAATCCTGGAAATCTCCTTAACAGCACTGTGGGTGTCCCTGGACCATATGGACTGCAATGGCTCAAGACAACTCACCATGGCTGCCTTAAGGGCTATTAGGGATGGTCATCAAATATTGGCGTTGCGGTAATGCCCACTTCCCATGCATGCAGATGCAGGATTTTCAGTAAAGATTTTACATCACTGGGGCAGCTTCCATTGTGCGAATTTCCCAGTGATGTATACTTTGTATTGAGTAATACCATACAAGGTGGATGTTGTGGCTCAGTCTATAATCTGTCCATTTTGCCCAGTGAAGTTAGAAAGGAAATAATAAAAGGCAACTTTAAATTTCAGTCCTTCATTGAATTCACATTTTGATCCGAAGAATTAGCTTTTATTTTGGAAATTGGTGAGGTGATAATCCAGGGGTTCACATCGTCGTCTTATTGGTATTGACTCAGTGCAGAATTAATTCTCTGGCATGTCCTAAATTAGTTAGACTTTGACTGGCTGGTTGGATTGTTGCACTGCTTGAATAAGACAAGGTCGAATGCAAAAGTCTCAGATTGTTGGGTCACCCTGAGCCAGACACTGGCCATGCAATATGCTAATGATCTTGGCTGGTAGGGGGTGAAGGACAGAACTGAAAGCCAAGGGCCCATATTGGGAAGGGAGATAGTTAGGAGAAGAGGAACTGTTTTTCACTTGCTTAGTGGCCCATTGACAGAGACCCAAATTCACATTTTTATTTATCTGCCATCTTGCTCCAACTGGTTCAACCTTGTCTAAAAGGAGAGTAAATCATTTTCAGATGAGTAACTAAAAATGTTGGACTTACCGTGTATATAGTTTGATAGAGATGTGTGACATTAGCAGTAACATTTAACTTAAAGGAAAGTGTTCCCTTTGTCCTATTTCTATGTTATGGGTACGGGTATGGTTCCTCAATGTTGTGTGGAGAATTGAACTTTCTGAATTGCCAACTGTTTGTGCTAATGTCTTTGTTGTAATTTTAGGTACAGTCAGCTGCACTCGATGAAATGTTCCAGCAAACAGAGGACATCACATACCGGTACCACAAAGCAGCATTATTATTGGAAGGCTTGACAAAGACTCTGCAAGATCCTGCTGATATTGACAACATCCAGAAATGTAAGGGTAAAAAGAGCATAACAATTCTGGACACACCCAACACATTGGGCCTATCTACCTGTGTTCCGTACTATGTATTCTGTTCAAATGCAAGTTTTTAGAAAGCTAACCTAGGTACTCTGTGAATAGCTAAGCAGGGTTAGGCAAAGAAAAGCTAAACCTTGATAGCTAGGAAGTTCCAAGATTTGATCTGCATGTTGAGTTAGCTGATATCCACCATGGACCATGGTGACAGTACAGATATTGGGATTGTTTAACCTCCGAGTTCTTATTTTTGTGGAATGGCACAAGGGTAAAACCATTCTCCATTGTGGAAAATTCAAAATGATCATCCATATTTGCAGACCCTTCCAGTGTCTCATGGCATCCTCCCAACCCTACGTTCCAGACAGTGCATGTTAATCCTTCAGTTCTGGCTTCCACTTTCATACCTGCACTGTGCTTTCTGCCAACTCCCCAAGATGCTTTGCAAGGAAGAAATGGAAAATAAATAGTATGGAGTTCAGGCAGTACACTTTTGTGTTTTGATACAAACAGTTACCTTGCTCTGTTACCTTCAGAATGGTGAATATTTGAATTGTGTTTTAATGATGAAATCTATAAATGCAACATTTAGCTATGGTTTGTCATTTGAGTCCATTTGTCTGAGCATTTGGGCTGATTTGTTGGTTAATGGAGATAGTGAGTCCTGGAGGGAGTATATTTGCTCTCTTACCTGTAGGGCATGGAACTTTTATATAATTTGTTTTCAAAAAAAAAAACCTGTTTAAATACTTAAACGTATAAATTGGTGAACTTTATGCTTTAGCTAAGGTGGTATTGATGTCTCTTTCACCCCAATCTGCCTACTGCAGTGCTTTCCAAACTATTTCCTGGTGTGACCCCATTTTAGTGCCTCCAGGGTGAAAATTTGGGAGCTGCAAGAGTTGTTGAATAGGATGGATGGGAATCTTCAATTTTTGCAGTGGGGGTAAAAGGAGTTAGTGTGGCCACATCGCCTTCCTTAATTCATGCTGCCCCTACCTTCACACACCCATCTCCCCATCCTTCTTCAGTCCCCCGCTCCATTCCCTATCTCCATCATGGTGGGGAAGCGATGAAAAGGCAGGCAGGAACCACAATGGATTTTCTCAGGTTTTTGCAGCAGCAGACCTCAAAAAGCAATTGATTAAGTTGTGCCCATCATAGGGGGAGAAAAGCAAGCAATTAAAAGGGCCTTGGACACCTGTCGGGAATCATTCTGAGCCATTGCTGCCTTGGATATTGCAGCCCACAGTTTGGGAAGCCTCAGCCTAGTATTTTTAATGATGGCAATGAATTCCTTGACTTTTATCTTTGGTTGCTGTGTTGTCCTATCTGAAGGCTGATGGAGAACCATGTCAGCTACCAACTAGGGTGAATCCGCTCGATGACTGAATGTACAGCGCCATCGATCATGTTGTGAAAAATTAAGGTTGATTCTACTTCGTTGGGAGCTTTATGGGGAATGGCTGTCGCTTCAATTTTTAAAAAGTAAGCATGTTCTTTTACATGTTTTTCAGACAAGACCAGCGTTGAACGCAGACTGTCTGTACTGTGCCATGGCACAGTGGCTCTTTATGGAAACTAGCCTTCTGAAATGGACCACTTGCAGCAGAGCAGGGACCACCACCTTTCCTGGATCACGCCAGAGTCTTGGAGATGCCTTTTTCCTTTTTTGTTTAATGGTTTTTCTTCCCCAACTCACCACCACCACCCCCCCCCCCCCCCCCCCCCCCCCCCCGTATTGTGGGAAACTGTTCATACTGAGGCCATTTCTTTTCACCACCTATGCCAACCCACGTAGCGAGCAATGTTTGATTTTTGTTTTGAAGAGTTACCAAAGAGGAGTTCTTGTTTCAAAAGAAAGGAAATTTATGTATAAATATAGATTAATACTTCTGGAAAACTCTCTCAACGATGTAGCATTTTCTTTCGTTTCATTTTACCTCAAAGAGGTGAAGTATGGGGCAGATTCACTAATTTTGGCTTAAAAAGCCACCTATCACTGGAGAGCGTTAATACATGCACAGGAGTAAAACTGAAACTTGTCTGTTTTTGTGACAGAACTCATGGGTACTTGGAAACCTACGTTCAGAAGTATTTTGCTCCATCTGATTAACTTATGTATATACAGTACTGTGCTGTGGCAAATTGGCAAGTTGTCTTTCTCCAAGTGAAACTTCTAAGGTAATTTTAAGACACTAATGATATGATAAATGAGCCACATTTTAAGATTTACCAGGATCCTTGTACAGCCAGTTAAAGGCATGAAATGCCTTATATCTTCTGCTACATTGTATACATGTCAACCCATGGAAACTGATCATCAAGGAGGAATTAAGCACTTTATGTGGATAGGAAGTTGACAACCAGACAAAAGGGGATGGCTGCAGCTCACCTTTATGACCTTGTAAACCTGACATCACTTTGGATGGACACAGAGAGAGAGGATTTTCTTGTTTTTTTTGTTTTTATTTTGTAGCTCTTGAGACAGGAGCTATTGATACCACAAAGACTTTGCTCCAACAGACAACCACTTCTGATTGCACTATTACAATTCTTTGAACATCTTTAATGTTATGCAGAACTCCTTGTAAAATGACACAGCTTAAAAGCTGTATTGAAGAAATAGGAAGTAGAGAATACTGTCCCAGTAGGTTAAGCTCCAATGCATTCAACAAAAGAAAATTTCAAATGCGTTTTGGAGCAAGAAGCACAAAGTGCTTGACACTTTAACTAAAAAGACTGCAAAAAAAAGCGTGTATTAATTACAAGACTTTCCTTTTTATACTTATTAAATACTTGAGTAGTCCATATAGAGCAACCGTCTGTATATAATGAAACTAGTTTTTTTTCCTCTTTCTGCCAGTGATCGACTTTTAAACAATATTTTTTGGCTGGCTTTGTTGTGCATGTATTCAGTGTGACTGTGCCACTGACCTGATAATATTGCTAACAATGCTGTTTGTTCAGACAGTATTATGGAGTTGATGCATTTTTCCTGTAGATTGACAACCTGTCATGCAGACTAATGTAACGTTTAGTATTTTCAGGGGTGGAAAAAACAGATTATCAGGACTCCAGGAACCAGATTACAAAACAGTTTGGACTGTTTTGAAGCCCAGGTTTTACTTCTGGAGGACAATTTTGTCACTTGTATGAACTAAAGAATTCAAAGTTCTTTTCCAGACTTGTGTACATGTTACATATGTGTGCATCCATGTAAACAAAGTGAACAAGCACAATTGTTCCATTTTTATATCATACGTAATCAGATTAAAGGTTCTGGTTTGGCAATAGGCATCCAATAGTCTGGTGAAGGATTGCAATTAAACTGACACTAACAATAGCAGTTGAGTTTGAAAGAGTATTTAATTGGAAATTTTATTTTTGTAATTTTAAAATTAAATAAAAACAGCAGGTGGTAACTCTAGTATAAAGGATGATGTTTGTGTGGTACAGCTAATGAGGCACAATATGCATCATCTCAGGAAATGATGCAATGTCACATGATCTTGTTCTCTTGCAGTCTTGTGGCAAGCTGAAGCACCATACAATGCTTCTTAAATAAAGTTAATGTTTTCCTTACTTCAGCAGACTCTGTAAATATTCTTTAGTACAATGACCCCAAGAATATTAAATGGTGGCAGCAAATGAAAGAACAAATGGGAAAGTCTCTGCCATTACTGGAGAGGTTCTAATCAAGTAAAAGCATGGCTGAATTGGTACCAGAGATTTACAAGGTGTCTCGCTGCAAAACGGAGCAGTGAGCAGGTCAGTACACGACTATATCCAATGGATCCAATGCATATAGTGCTGTAATTACTAAAGGGATTGACTTAGAAAACAATTGAGGAAGTAAGCAGAAGATCCTATGCCTACTTCAATCTGCTAAATTTACTAAGCATGCCCAGCAACAAAGGAGTAGTATTAATGCCTTTAACTTGCAGAGAACTGAGAGTATAACAACTTAGAAGAATTAATGAGGGACAGAATTGTATTTCTGAACTTAGATGAAACGCTGTCCAATCACTTGGCAGTTAAGGAGTAACTTAACATCAAAGGCAATTCAACAGAGCAGGCAAACTAAGGTGGGGAAACAAAATAGGTAATTTGGGGTGCCAGAGAACCGTATCCCAAAAATAAATGACTGAGTGAGTGTTAAGTTTAAAAGCAGGGAGGTGGCCTAACATATGCTGAAGGCAGGAACAATGTGCATTAACTTCCCCAGGTTAACTGTTACTGGTGCGGTAGCAAAAAGCACAGGTGTGGAAATTGTACCTCCAAAGGGGCAGGAGGCCATCTGTGCAAGAGGGGTCACTTCCAAGCTGTGTCACAGCAAGAAATTTGTACAAAATAAGCCAAAAAAGAAGCCCTTAAAAGATAGAAATAGAAGATATTTAATGTGGCAATGCCTTTCTTTGATAATATGAGGGAACCAAGCAGAAGCTACTAGAGCACTGATAATAGAGGGGAAACTAGACATGTGATAAATTAGACTTGGGTGCACCGGTTTTGCTTTTTACAGCTATTGTACTGTGTTTGGAGAACCATAGTTCACAAAACTGCATGGGCCAAGAGGTATGGAACCTAGGTCATAGGACAATTAAATGTAACTCTTTGTTATAAAAAGAAAGAAAACACTGAAGCCTTGTATGTCAACAATGAGAAGGTGTAGGCCATTTGGCCCCTTGAGTCTGTGTAATAAGATCATGGCTAATCTGCTTGTAATCTTATTTGTGATCTAAAACAGAGTCGCTCATTCTTAGCAGGAAGGCTTGTATTGACTTGTGCCTGACTTGTAAAGTAGAGGAACTAGAAATCAAGACAATGATGTCTGTAGAAGAGAGCTTAACAAAAATGGAAGTGTTTAATTTTCATGAAGCCAGATACAAATAGCATTTTCTTTGACAATTATCCTTTTATGAAGAATCTAAGATGCTCTCGGGAGATTGCAAGGACTGCAGATGCTCTCAACCTTCATTACCCCTTGTGGGAGATTTTGTTACAGCGGTTTACCCTTCTCCACATCAGCACCAGAAATCTTCCAGAGAACAGTGTCAAGCAGTCTAATAAGACTGGACTCAGTTGTATGTTAGATTGATGATGTCCTGATCCATGGCTGCACTCGGAATATGATAAGCTGCAGCACCTACAGGAAGCAGCACTTACATACAACATTTGACATGTATTCTCACATCCAACTATCAAACTGTTTGAGCATATTGTGGATGCATCTAGTGACGGAGCTTATCTACAGAAGATGAGCAGCAAAGGAGTTTCCAGCTTCTCAAGCTGACAGTGTTCCAGACGTTCATGGTTATAGTAAACCTAGTTTCCTTCAACAGCACCTTCCAAACCCATGACCTGTACCACCTGCGAGGACAATAGCAGCAGAGACATGGAAGCACACCACCTAGAAGTTCCACACCAAGCCTCTCACCATCCTGATGGAAACTTATCGCCTTCAGTGTCACTGGGTCAAAATCCTGGAGCTCCCTGCGTAAAAGCATTGTGGGTGCACCTACTCCCATGAACAGTAGTTCAAGGAGGCAGTTCAGCAACACTTCTTTCAAAGCAACTTTCAGATTGCAATAAATGCTGACCCAGCCAGCAGTGTCCACATCCTGTTACTGAAGCAGAAATGTTCTTGTCCAAACTAGCTGTCATCAATGAACTGTTACATCAGTTACAAGACAATACACAATGCTTGAAGGGTGCAGGGCAAGATCTTTCGGAAAAAATTCGAAGATGATATTGATGTTTTGAGTCATCAAAACACAGAGTTGCTCACTCTCATTGAAGATGTAACTTTGCCAGAATAGGAAATGGTACTCTCTCGGATACGATGTAGGATGAGAGATTAGGACTAATTGATATATGCTAATGAAGCAATACACGACAGGGTGTGGTGAAATGTCACATGATCTTGCTCTGTCTTACAGCCTGCTGTCAAGATAAAGCCACAATAAGATGCTTCTTAAATAAATTGAATACTTTCCTTCCTTCAGGCTCTGTAAACAATCTTTAGCACAATAAAAATAAGAATATTATGGCAACTTAGAAATACACATTTTAAAAAAGCCAATGCTGCATTGTACTCTTTGGGTTTAGAATCAGCAGTCATATGTATTTCTTCTTCCCACCTGTAAAATCTTGCCTTTTCTACAAACTGACCAGGCAGGCAGTTTTATTTTTAAAACCGTTTTGTTTGCTGCACAGAACACCAGATTACAAAGTCATATTTGTGACCAAACTTGTCTCCATCCCCAGATTCTCTGGGCAGTCTTCTGGAGTTGGTAAATAAATTTTTCCACCCTTGAGTATTTTTTGTTTTACCTTTTTTTTTTCGTTAAATTACTCCGCTGCTTGAATACTTGAATATTGATCTAAATTCCTTTATAACAATCATGTTTCATGTCCCAGAGACAGTTGTATTCAATTATATTTTCCATGAGCAATGAATTTGGCTCATTCATGAGATCCGTCTAAACTGTTTTATTTTCCCCTTGCTTTATGTTTTGAAAGGATCTAATGTATTTTATTTATCTGTAAGCAATTCCATTAATTCTGAAGACAGTTTTTATTTATAAAATATTTGTACTATTAGGTCTTTAATACAGTGTTTCTACCTCTCATTTGTGTATAACGGCATGCATACTCAATGAAATCAGGTTGCAGACACATTTACTTGTTATGTAGCAGCCTTTTTAATATGGCCTGTAAAGATGTACATTACGACAACGGAAATAAAATTGTCATGAAATATTATTGAAGTGATCATTTTGTCTTACTCTACTGTCCAGAATCTGAGAATGACTATTCAAGTTTAGTTTTTGTGTGTGAGTTGCATGAAGTGCAAACAGATTCATGGAAAGAAACTAAAGTTTGCAGTTGTCTGTCCTACAGCCATCAATCAACCTTGTCTTACCTGTAATGCAGAATCCAAAAATGGAATCCATCTGAGCCGAAGTTAATTTACAATCTCCTTTTTTTTTCTGCTCTGGCACCCTGTCTTTATCTTGCAATTTTTTTTCTCTTTTACTCCTGTACTACTGATGCAGGTCACTTGCCTGTGAGCCTAAACTGTAAATACCAAAAGGTTGCTCAATTTATAACTTGGTGGTAGGGTACTGGAGAGACATCATTATTCTCACTATATTCTGTTCTAAAGTATGCGCATGTCTACATTTTTCAGTGCAGAATTTGGGCTGGAGGCAACGACATGGGACATGACTTGTTTATTTTTCCCCATTACCAGAGATAGCTAGATTGATTGTAGTACATCTTCCGCTGCCCAGTTCAGACTTCTATTGGCTGTCAAATATGCGTGACTCTGGCAAGGCTGCATTTAATCCCTATCCGCATTTGTATTGAGAATGTAAAACAGAAATTGCTGGAAAAACTCCACAGGTCTGGCAGCATCTGTGGAGAGAAATCAGTAGAGTTAACATTTCAGGTCCAGTAATCCTTCCTCAGAACTGACAGCTAGGAAAAACTTGGTTTTTATTGCAAAAGATAGGGTGGGGGGGAAAGGGAAAGGAGTAAATGATAGGTGGTGATAGAGCCCAAAGAGAGAGAAGAACAGCTGGACAGACCAGAGAGTGTCTAGGGGAATGAATAGCTATTCATAGGGAATGTTAATGGCTAACAATGTCTTATGTGTAAAAGCAGCCCGTGTGATAACAAGGCCTGGTGTGTGGAGGTTTGGGTAAAGACATGGAAGAAGGCACGTCAAGCCTAAATTATTGGACTCAACATTGAGTCCAGAAGGTTGTCTTGTTCCCACATGGAAAATGAGGTGCTGTTCTTCCGACTTGTGCTGAGCTTCACTGGAACACTGCAGTGAGCGTGACAGAAATGTTGGCCAGGAAACAAGGTAATGTGTTGAAGTGGCGAACAACTGGACGCCATGGTCTTTTTTGAAGACTGGGCAACTGCTTCACAGAACACCTATTCATTTGTGGGACGTGGGTGTTGCTGGCTGGGCAGCATTTTTTGCCCAGCCCTAGTTGCCCTTGAAGGTGGTGGTGAGCTGCCTTTTTGAACCGCTGCAGTCCTCCTGCTGTGGGTTGACCCACAATGCCATTAGGGAGGGACTTCCAGGATTTTGACCCAGCGACAGTGAAGGAACAGTGATATATTTCCAATTCAGGATGGTGAGTGACTTGGAGAGGAACTTGGAGGTGGTGGTGTTCCCATATATCTGCTGCCCTTGTCCTTCTAGTTGGAAGTGGTCGTGGGTTTGGAAGGTGCTGATCTGAGAATCTTTAGTGAATTTCTGTAGTGCATCTTGTAGGTCATAAACACTGCTGCTACTGAGCATCGGTGGTGGAGGGAGTGAATGCTTGTAGATGCCTGCTGCTTCAACACACCACATTGTTCCCTGGCTAACATGTCTGTTTCAGACTTTCTGCAGTGGTCCAGTGAAGCTCAGCACAAGCTGGAAGAATAGCACTCATTTTCTGCTTGGGAATTCTACAGCTTTCTAGACTCAATATCGAGTTCAACAATTTTGGGGCTTGTATCTTCTCCCATGTCCTTACCCCAACCTCCACACACCAGGCCTTGTTATCACATGGACTGCTATTACATACAACCCATTGTTAGCCACTAATAGTCCCCATTTAATAGCTATTCATTCTCCTAGGCTGACTGTTATCCACTCTTTCTTTTTTGTTTAACTGTTCCTCTCTCTCTGGGTTTTATCTCCCCCTGTTGCTTACTCCTTACCTCCTCCCCCCTCCCCCGCATAATTCTGCATAAAAAACTTTTTCCTAGCTACCATCAGTTCTGAGGAATCTGAAACACCATCTCTGTTTTCTGTCTACAGATGCTGCCAGACCTGCTGAGCTTTTCCAGCAATTTCTGTTTTAGTTTCTGATTTACAGCATCTGTAGTTCTTCTAGTTTTTAATTTGTATTGAGAATGTGCTGGCTTACTTTCTAGTGATTTAATTTTACAATTAATGGATTTCTTGGCCATCTAAGAGGCAATCTGTTAATGTGAACTTGTTAAAGAGTAAACTGTTATTTCTGATTAATGTATGTCTGAATGGATCGCACTGATTGGCTGCTTTCCTTAGATTGAAATTTTATGGCAGTCTGACCACTTCTCACCGCTAATGCACATGAGCAGACTCACGTGGATTCTGCTAATATTGAGAATGCTGCACTGGTCTACGTTTCCTGGTATCATACTAGGTAATGGAACAACCCATCAGGGAGATTCTGGTACATATTGAACGTTTTATGTCCCCCTCCCTCCATCATCACTGCCCCAAAAAAAGTACAACATTCAAAATGTTTGTGAAAAGCGGATGTGAAATTTGAATGTCACTATTCAAACTGCTTATTCATCCTGCCTCTTCTAGTTAGGAGCTTGGAATTCAGTTAAATTATGTCCCTCCAGGAATCCAAGGTGGGAGCTCATGTGACCCCAGACATTGGATGGAAGTTCAATACTTCACATTCACTTACCTATGTGGCTAGTTGGCTCAGAAGACATTGGGTTTCTATGCTTTTTCTACAGGGAAGGAAGGAAGGGAAGTTGGAGTCATCCTGAACATTGAGATAGGCCCGAAACGTCAGCCTTCCTGCTCCTATGATGCTGCTTGGCCTGCTGTGTTCATCCAGCTCTACACCTTGTTATCTCAGATTTTCCAGCATCTGCAGTTCTGACTATCTCTCATCCTGAATATTGTTCACATTCTGCTAACAATTCACCGTCTTAGAATCATAGAGTCCTACAGCACTGAGACTGGCCCTTCGGTCCAAACTGGTCCATGCCGACCAAAATGTCCATCCACGCTAACCACATTTCCCTGCACTTGGCCCACGTTCTTCTAAACCTTTGCTATCCATCTATTTGTCCAAGTGCCTTTTAAATGTTGTTAATTTACCCACCTCAACCACTTCTGCTGGCAGCTCATTCCATATGCGTACCAGCCTCTGTGTAAAAGAAATTGCACTTTCAGGTTCCCATGTATTCTTTCCCCTCTTACCTTAAACTGATGCCCTCTAGTCCTCGATTCCCCAACTCTGGGAAATAGACTGCGTGCATTCACCCTACTCATGCCTCTCATGATCTTATACACTTCTATAAGATCCCCCCCTCAATCGCCCACACTCTAAAGAAAGAAGTCCCAGCTTATCTCCTTATAACTCAGTCCCTTGAGTCCTGGCAATGTCCTTGTAAATTTCTTCTGCACTCTTTCCAGTTTAATAGTTGATGTTTTGTTTAAAAGGTAGACAAGTTATGAGAAATAAAACAGTTTCCACTTTGGGCTGAACTGGTTAATGTTAAATGACCTGTTTTAGGTTGCTGCCTATATGAGTAGCGTTAATACCTTAAATTTTGGTTTTCAGCAAAGAGTTATTTAATGCAGAAGGCTGTTTTCCAGTCGCATTTGTAGCAAAGAGCTTGGCTCAGTTGAAGGTTCACAGAGATTGAGAATTCCCCACAGTAGATTTAGCACATCATTAGAATGCCACTTCCGACATTGTAGCACACCCTAGCTACCTACTGCACTCCAGTTTCCATCTTTCATGTGAGATATTAAACTGAGGCACTGTTTGATTAAAAGGTTCTGTGAAACTATTTGAAAAAGAGAAGGGAGTTATCCTAGGGAATATACTCTGTCAACAATTACCAAGGAAAATACGTAATATCGTTTGCTCATTTTCACTTGCTCAATCTTTGCTGCCTGCAAATTGCTACTAACCATTTTACAAAATGCTGCGTAAATCTAAGTCTTGCTTTGCAGATGCTAGTTGACCATAGGATCGGGGTGGGCTGTGAATGCTCTTTCCCTTGTTCAGATCTTCAGATTTTGGAAACTTGAAATCAAAACAAAATTTGCAAGAAATGCTGACCAAGGGCCCCAGAGTTGAAGGTTCAAGTCAGTGACCTTTCTCATCTAGATTCTGGCTGACCTGATGAGTGTTTTCAACACACTCATTTCAAAATAGCATTGGTACTTCAATATTACTTGTGCTTTTAACAATGGTTCCTCTTTGAAGAGTAGCGACAGTTATGGAAGAAGACACTCAAAACATTACCCAGCAGACAACCAGTCTTTCAGATGGGAAGACTAGTGACTCCCATTGTCAAATTGTACAATTTGAGCCACCCTGCCCTGCTGCAACAGTTAATGCAGCAAGTTAGGGCCTTTGACACAGATTCTTGCCTGGAAAATGATCTGTGGTGTACACATCTAAGGAAAAGAAGGAATTTGGAAATTAAGGAGCAAACTTTTTCTGTACTCTTCATTTCAGGAGATTTCACTTTTGATCCTTCGATTTTGCGGTCTTAGATAATTTCAAGTCAATGTATCTTCAATTAGTTGGGCAATGTCTCTGAAAAGAAAGACATTCTGGCTGTTTTATGGTACCACTCATGACCACCTTAAGTCTCTAAGTGCTTCACAGCCAATGAAATACAGCCGCAGTTCTAGGAATTATGGGAGCCGTTTTTGCTATAGCTAGCTTCCACGGAGAGCAATGTGATGAAAACAAATAACTGTTTTAATGAATTTGGTGAATAAATATTTGCCAAGGCACCAGGGGCTAACTCCCCTCCTCCTCATTTAAATTGTACCATGGGATCTTTTGTGACCATCTGCTAGGACGAAAGAAAAATCAGTCCTGGTTTAAAAAGTCCCTGAACACCATGGGCAATTTAGCATGGCCAATCCACCTAGCCTGCACATCTTTGGACTGTGGGAGGAAACCGGAGCACCCGGAGGAAACCCACGCAGGCATGGGGAGAAT